AATACAAACAATGCCTTGCAAAACGTAAGCTACAATCATACAGTGCTAATAAATATGTGTATTTGATTTCATTAGCGGTCAATATAATGTAATTCACAAGTCTGGGCTTTATTATGTCTATGTAGGACTATTATATTATTCCTAGAAATGTTTAAACTGCCCAGTGTTTCTCAGTTGCATAGGTGAATGCAGATTCAGAACAGCGTAAGTAAAGAATTGGTGATTACGGTATTCGTCTTGATATAACAGGGTTATAACAATAATACATGGAGTACAAATACCGCATGAAATTAACAAGCTGGGCCTTCAATATACGCAATTTAATCAAACAAATATTATAATTCAAATACTAGTGTATTGTGTTAATATTTTCATTTAATTTATTTATTTTTTTAATATAAATCAAAATCAACTTCAGAAAAACTCAGGGGAACAAAGAAGTATGGAATACTTTATGCTCAATATTCTACGATTAAACAAATGGAAGAATTGAAAGATAAGAAGAGTGCCTATAGCTTAAGCTATGAGTGGCGCATTTATGGGGGCTTGTGGCCCACTGCTAAAAATGCAGCTAATTCAGGCGCCCCCACTAGAACATTACGCTTGAAGTAGTTAAAACATTTACTTCATTTCACCTTATATTTCCCAGTGTACCCTTCACACTTAACCTTCGGTCCCACCACCATCACCCACTTCCATGTTTTCGGAGACAGAATTGATATGTCAATCATTTCAAGAATCTCCTCGATAGAAAGCAGACAGCTCTCCGCCCACCCCACTCTCTGGTGCCACCCCATTGGAAGCAATCATCTTAACCACTAAGCTATTAATTCCATCCGAATGTACATATCCTCTATACAAAAAAAAATTGTAGTGGGAAATAAAGTATCGATTATTAAAGTTTACTTCGTTATTCAGTTTATGATTACAAAAAGGTTTTCAGTTTATTAAAACCAAAGAGATAATGATAAATGTTGCCTCAGTGACGTTTCTGGTCAGTTACCTTTCATTAGACTGGTTAGGATCTTGTGTTGGGATTGGTCTTATCCCGGTGTTGGTATTCAGTTACCCCTCTAACGTCCGGTGTTGTTTGACGATAGAAAGTTCCCCTCGGCCCGGCCTTTGTTTTTTGTTTTTTGTTTTGTTTTTTTAAATAAAATTATCGTAAATGTGCAAAAGTTCGTACCCCACCCCACCCCCACACAAATTTCTGTTTATGCTTTTAGATTGTTCATTCACTGTTTATGCTTTTAGGTTGCTGTTTATGCTTTTAGATTGTTCATTCACTGTTTATGCTTTTAGGTTGTCTGTTGTTTAGGTTGTTTTCTTATGCAGGTGGCTTATTTTATTTTCCTCTTCTTCGATTTTCTTTCTTTTCTCAAAATTTTAACATCCCAATTGGTGGCATAATTAAACTGAACCATGCGGTCGGCTATTGCTGATTGATGTCGCACGTTCATTTCATTTCATTTTACTGCGCCATAATATATAAGGAATATAGTTGTCATGTGGCATGATTGCCAAAAAGTAGAAAATTAATCTACTGTCGAGGGGCTCTCTTCACGATAACGACGAATACTATAAAATATCATGTAAACAATTATAATTCTATATACGTAATTCAAATATAATATAAACATTGAAATACAGTATTAAAAATATGAATACAATCATTAAAAAAAAACACTTTAAAATACATTCAAAAATTACAGTGGACCTAATTTAAAAAAGGAATAGCAATAAAATAAACTAAAAATGTTTCTAAAAATTTAATAACAGAAGAAAAGATCGCAATGTAGCTTCACAGATAAAGGAAACCAACGAGAGCAATTGAAGCAAATTCCCAAATCGATACAGACGATCTTGCTGTTCTGGACTTCATTCCAGTATTGTATGGTGTAACATCTTTTTTTTGTGCTCAGATACATTTACTAAGCGTTTATCCTGTCTTTCCGATATAGGCATCATTATCACAGTTCAAATATGATGCCTCGTAATTTACCCCACAGTAACCTTCTTTTTTGATTTTGTCTTTTGGATGGACAAGACCTTGTTTAATTTTATTCATTTGAATGAAGATTGCATTTACTTTATACTGAGACGTATAGTCAGTCTGATGACAGGTATCTGATTGGACCAGAAACGTCACTGAGGTAACATTTATTATTACCTCCTTGGTTGGTCTCATTTGTAATTTTACACAGAACCAATGAAATTTTTCCATGATTTCAGTCAGTTATATATGATATATATAATTAAAATGGAACAATCCGATCAGAATGCAAAAAAATAAACTAAGCATCCACTGGAAGGAATCCATAATGGTCGTGGGACTAGTTTGGTCCCTACCTAAGCTGGTCGAACGTTTCGTTTAGGTCTACCCTAGCTGCACCGATGAGGCCCGGAAGGCCGAAACGGATCCGTCTGCAGATATTGGGATTCCTTCCAGTGGATGCTTAGTTTATTTTGTCATTCTGATCGGTTCCGTTTTAATTTTAAATAGTTTTGCATTATATGGCCGTTTGCTGTTTTATGGGTTTTTCCCATTTGCCTTTTTAAATTTACATATATTAAAGAATCTCTATTGATTTTTTTTCGTAATTTTGATCAAGGAATCTAAATAATTTTCACTGATACATATGAAAAATAGAAGGATACTAATATTGTTACCGATTGCCAATCTTTGTCGTATGTACCTACATGAGATAAAAAAAAAATCAACTCATATGTATGGAACGCCGTTCATGCAACAATTTGATGTTTTGATATGGTTCATAGTGGAGCATATTGTAGCCAACTCAGAGCGTTGCAAAGATCAGCTACATAATATTGGGTTTCCTTCCAGTTGATGCTTAGTTTATTTTGTCATTCTGATCGGTTCCGTTTTAATTTTAAATAGTTTTGCATTATGTGGCCGTTTGCTGTTTTATGGGTTTTCCCATTTGCCTTTTTAAATTTACATATATTAAAGAATCTCTATTGAGATCCAGCGGGCCGCCATTGATGCACGGTAGAAATTGCATCTTTAGATCTCCGATCTTGTTCACAAATTCACGGACTAGTGCTGTCTCGTAAGAATTTCGTAGGGCGCGTTAAGAATAACAAAATATTCTCTGTATCTACTGGAACTGAGCCACATAGCTTGTATTCCACTATTTGCATTCACACCTGGGCTGTGTATATATATTGCCTTGGTTTGGCTCCGTAATCATTAGTGGTCGTGGGACTAGTTTGTGCCCTTTATTAAATAAAAATGTGACTTGCTTTTTTCAGCCATTGCTCTATACTCAATATGTCCTCTTCTCCTACCTTGATACTGATCCTTTAAAAGAGCGTTAAGTAAATGATTAACTTACTTGTAAGAGAATGATCTCGGTTCTCTTCGAAAAAGGAAGTGTTTTCAGGTTGTCTTGCTCCTTTTTTCATGCATGCCCCTGCCTCAACCAAAGATAATAAATTGCAGTACTTTTTGGGGATCCGCCCCTGTTTATTCAAGAGAGGCGTTTACTTTTTTGGTGTATAATGGATACGGTACGTATATAATACTCAAATAGGCGCCTCTTAATTTCACTGTAAATGTGGAACTATAACACAAAATATTTTAACGATTGCTATGAAAAATGTAGATCTAGAGCTTAAAACACACTCAAAAGCTGAAGTTGTATACATCTAATAAGAAAGTAAAAAATAACCATGAAACACTAAGATACTGCAGGGGAATACGCTATCGAAAGAAAAGCAACTTCAGGAATGGGATTTGAATTTTAAATCAAACAGCTTTGGAAGTGGAAAATATTTGTAAAGTAATATGTAAAGTTTTCTAAGGCCCGGATATCCAGATGCACCAAAAGGGATCAAGATCCGATGGTAACTGATATGTATGTATGTAGGTGTTGGTCTTTTTCAATTGTATGTTTTAAAGCTACAGTATTCTATATAAATACATTTCCGAAATAAAGAAATGAATGTAAAAAATTACTGTACGTTTTTGTTCGTCTTGCAAGTAATCAACATTTTATAAGAATGACCTTGTATAATAACATTCAACTCCCTGATGGAAGCCTAGCTAGAGTAAATTTAAGTGACGATATTTGATATTAATTAGCACGGTAATTATTACAAAGAAAAATAAAATATTTACTATAAGTTATAATTATAATAATAGGAGCATGATAACGTTTCTTTGTATTTATTTTTCCCTGTATAGATACCAGAGCCGTTTTAATGTCACAATCCACTGGCACAAAAAGTGCAGTCCGCCCAATAGTGCGAGTCATGAATTTTGGCTTATAGCCATGAGCATGCGCAGTAAAGAACTTCGCATTTAATTATTAAACTGTCCATGCGTGCAATAAAAAAAATCGAATTTTGTGCGAATTCGCCTAGTGGAAAGAAACGACGGCCGTACGAGGGCACATTATCACCTGCACCTAAATAATAAGGAAGGAAAGAATACACTGTATTTATTTCGAATTGCTGTAGTGTATATTCACATAAAAAGTGAGTTTTAAATTTTTTTTACGACTTATCATAGGTTTATATGTGTACTTTTGTTGGCCTAATAGAGTTCCACTTTCTGCCCTGCAAATTTTTCATTGTAGTACTAGGCAATTTGTTTGCCTTTTTTCTTCGGGGGAAGGGTGAGGTCGCACCCCCGCGTCTCAGCATACTCCCCTGCTGCGACCTCCACTTCTTCGCCCCCCTGTCAAATCTTGTCTTTCAGCGACAAAACAGCCACAAAGTACACACTCTTCTCACGACCACGCCCACATGTGTCGACAATCAAGGTAAACACTAGATTCGCGCCTGAAAACATGCTTCTTACACAATACAGTGTGGACACAGCAATATTTATTGTACGACTCGTTATTTATTCTCAGGACACATATGTCAGTGCCATGAGATATGCTGCTCACTAGAACTCTAATAGAGTAACGACCCCACCCCCGGATGCTTCGGTTAGGGTGATGTATGCGGGTCACTATATCTTCATCGAATAACGTCCATAACACTGGATAAATAGTGTTTATGTTTTTATGGTCTTTTATATTTTTTATACTTACATATTTGAAACAAGGAAGTCATTGTCATGACTTTATAAATGATTTCATGACAATAAAATTCAATCTGAATCTAAATAGATCAGTTAGGGTGGGCTATGCGGCTCACTAAAAACTTAGTGAAGTAACGTCCCTAACCATTTTTTCATAGTTATTATAATTTGTTTATACAGGTCATTTTATATAGTTTTTTTTCGTAATTTTGATCAAGGAATCTAAATAATTTTCACTGATACATATGAAAAATAGAAGGATACTAATATTGTTACCGATTGCCAGTCTTTGTCGTATGTGCCTACATGAGAAAAAATTCAACTCATATGTATGGAACGCCGTTCATGCAATAATTTGATGTTTTGATATGGTTCATAGTGGAGCATATATATTGTAGCCAACTCAGAGCGTTGCAAAGATCAGCTACATAATATTCGAATTCATCAAAATATTCATACTATATACAATTACTTTAAATTTATACGTTTTATGGTAGTGGAATAGTTCACTAAAAAAACAGCCATTGAAAATTAAACATGTTTTTTTAATTTCTACTTTTATGTGCTTTATTAGCAGACTTCTTCATTAGCACCAAATTTATTCTGAGTAGTTTAGTAACGTAAATAATTTTAATTAGTTCTGTAAGTTCATCTTTCATTAGAATCAGATGACATCATGACACCACCAATGGTAAATCAAATATTCCATTTAATCGTATGACCCTCTTTGATTGGCAAGTCGAGCGTTTCCATAACCAATGTCTGTAAGAAATAAACATAAATAATGAATGTTTTACCCTTTGATATTGTTAAACTTTACAATAAGAAAGAGTTTAAGTTTACATTCGTAAAACCTGGTAAAACTATAATTAAGGCCTATTTTTTACACACCATTTTTGACAGAGCATTTCTGGATATCCACACCTCCAGATTGCCGGAAATGGCATCCTCAGACTTAAGTTTGAATGTTATTTTCTGTTTTTTCCCATGTTTTCTCCACCCTCCCCCCACCTTGAATCCGCATGGAACAGTATTTCTCTAAATTTACTCTACCTTATTGCCCTTGGAATATTTGTACCGACTGGAATCTATGGTGGCATCGTCAACCTCAACGGTCGATGGATTTCCAGGCATTCCGTACACACGGATGTCAGCCAATATCAAGTCAGTATCAAAACCACTGTTTTCTACAGTGATTTTAATTTCATTCTAGAATGATGAAAATATTGTTGATAATAATGATAATAATAATAATAATAATAATAATAATAATAATAATAATAATAATGTTAATAATAATAATATAAAAATAATAATTTGTGTATTTTTCAGGCGTATTCAACTTACGTTATTGCATTTAAAGGACAGCTGCAGATAATCACCACTCGCATAAGTATCTGGAATATTATTTTAATTTGTTGGAATTATTTAAGTCGTATTATTATAAAAACAACATCATCATCATCATTATCATCATAATAATAATTGACATTCCCATGTACAGTATATATACGTTTTGGGAACATCAACAACTATTAACATAATTAATATCATTATCATTATCATCATCATCATTTTCGGCATCGTCATCATTGCCATCATCATCAAATAACATCGTCATCATTAGGCCTTATTCATCACTATTCATATATATATTGCACGCGCACTATTCATATATATATTGCACGCGCAACGGATCGTAATGACAACCCGCTCTGTCTGTCATCGACAAGTAGCAGACGCATCACGTCTTCAAGTGGCCACAAAGACCGGGGATGGTTTCATCGGCTAACGGTCCTACGATCGTCGTACGACGCAGTGTGTGACCGGCTTAATAGTCAATATCAATGCAGGCTCGATAACTGTCTTACCCATTGACTCTCCATCGTCCCAAAATAAATTTCCATTTGCAGCGTTGTCTGAATCCATTGCAACAATAATACCCATATTTTTCACACGGCTGAAATGAAACAATGCCATAAGAAAAAGAAACGATGATGATGATGATGATGATAATGATCATGCCAAATATACATATATTGATTATTTATTATTTGAATGATGATGATAATGATATTGGTAATTATTATTATTATTAATATTATTATTATTATTAAGAGTAATAATAATAATAAAATGTGATAAATGTAACATTATTATATTTTCTACAATCCATTTAAGTATTGTGCTTTTTAATAATAATAATATATTAATAATAATGATGAAGATTATTATCATTATTATTATTATTATTAGTAGTAGTAGTAGTAGTGGTAGTGGTAGTAGTAGTGGTAGTAGTAGTAGTAGTAGTAGTAGTAGTAGTAGTAGTAGTAGTAGTAGTAGTAGTAGTAGTAGTAGTAGTAGTAGTAGTAGTAGTAGTAGTAGTAGTAGTAGTAGTAGTAGTAGTAGTAGTAGTAGTTAGTAGTGGTAGTAGTAGTAGTAGTAATAAATTGTGATAAATGTAACATTATTATATTTTCTACGATCCATTAAAATATTGTGCTTTTTTCCTCTTTTTCAATAATTTTTCGAATGTAGGCCAAGCGTTTCTTCATCCAATTAAGACTCCTTACCTGTAAAATGTTGTGTTTGCCGGTTCTTGGATTGGAAGGATATAGCCACCTCTAACGTGAACTGGTATGAAGTCTATTGGTGCATCAAGGGTATGCATCATGCCTCCCACGACCTCTAATTCATCGCCCTAAATAATATATTAGAGGTGATTGAATTTTGAGATGAAAAAATCGAAGGAATAGGGCCTAGGTCAATGTCACAGAAATTCAAAAATCTTACCACTCTACATAATAGAAAATAATGGAATCGCCCTTAAACACTCTGCATGTATTATTCAGTTTATAGATACAAGGCAGAGGTAGTAGTAGTAGTAGTAGTAGTAGTAGTAGTAGTAGTAGTAGTAGTAGTAGTAGTAGTAGTAGTAGTAGTAGTAGTAGTAGTAGTAGTAGTAGTAGTAGTAGTAGTAGTAGTAGTAGTAGTAGTAGTAGTAGTAGTAGTAGTAGTAGTAGTAGTAGTAGTAGTAGTAGTAGTAGTAGTAGTAGTAGTAGTAGTAGTAGTAGTAGTAGTAGTAGTAGTAGTAGTAGTAGTAGTAGTAGTAGTAGTAGTAGTAGTAGTAGTAGTAGTAGTAGTAGTAGTAGTAGTAGTAGTAGTAGTAGTAGTAGTAGTAGTAGTAGTAGTAGTAGTAGTAGTAGTAGTAGTAGTAGTAGTAGTAGTAGTAGTAGTAGTAGTAGTAGTAGTAGTAGTAGTAGTAGTAGTAGTAGTAGTAGTAGTAGTAGTAGTAGTAGTAGTAGTAATAAATTGTGATAAATGTAACATTATTATATTTTCTACGATCCATTAAAATATTGTGCTGTTTTTCTCTTTTTCAATAATTTTTCGAATGTAGGCCAAGTGTTTCTTCATCCAATTAAGACTCCTTACCTGTAAAATGTTGTGTTTGCCGGTTCTTGGATTGGAAGGATATAGCCACCTCTAACGTGAACTGGTATGACGTCTATTGGTGCATCAAGGGTACGCATCATGCCTCCCACGACCTCTAATTCATTGCCCTAAATAATATGGTAGAGGTGATTGAATTTTGAGATGAAAAAAATCGAAGGAATAGGGCCTAGGTCAATGTCACAGAAATTCAGAAATCTTACCACTCTACATAATAGAAAATAATGGAATCGCCCTTAAACACTCTGCATGTATTATTCAGTTTATAGGTGCAAGGCAGAGGTATGTACAGTACTCTATGAGTGACTGAACTCCATTTGTTAATATTATCATTATTAGTGTTGGGTAAAACATTTTGCGTTAGCATAAGCCAATATTATTATTATTAGGTTGAAATGCGCAATCCCGTATGAAGGCCAATCGACACAAACAAACATACACACAGTCGATTGATTCTGGACACGGGCATGCGCAGTTCAAACTGGCATCTGAATTGGCTTCTTGTATTCATAAGAGCTAAACAGCGTTCTGCTACTTACTGTATAATAATCGTACCATCTTGCATCAGGAAAATATCCTTCCACCTCAACACTCCCCTATGTTATATAAAAATAGAAAAGAAGTTGCAAGTAATATTTTGATTGGTTAAACACTTTTGGTACTTGTGCATATAAGCTTACAATGGATAATTTTTCATTGCCTATGATGATGACATAATTAATTAATGTGGCAATATTGAATCCCTACACGATGGCGTGCATTTCGATACTTGGAGATTGTATTATACTATTGTAAAAATATTTATTGCAAGAAAGGGAAATAGGCAATTCACTCAACCGAATATAGATGCATAGATGCCTTTCCTATAAACACTACAGAGTGTGAGATTAAAACCCCATTCCACATACCAGACCACATCTAGACAAGAAAGGTTTTATCAACAGCCTCACACTCCCGGCCAAATCCTTAACACCACCTTATTATTCACTATAAATTTTAAGGTACTCTACTTACCTTTGTAAGAACGGGTGTTATCAGAAGCCCGCCTCCCCACATGAACTGTTTGTCGATATCCAGTGTAGCTTTATCTGAAATAAATCTACAGAAATGTTTGACTATTAGTTAATATTGTTGTACATTTAATGCCTCAACTAAGATATGAATGCGCTTAGGAAATTTTTAGGACATGAAATGTGCTTAGATACGATTATTTTAGATATCGTGATATCAACAATACCTAAGCGCATTAGGATATGCATAAGCACGTTTAACTTGAGACAAGACTGCATGAGCGGAGCTCTGTAAATCAACTGTTCATCATTTTTAATAAGAAGTCATTAAATCGGCAAAATTGTATCGATCTGTGCATCATTCGAAGATTATTGCTTTTATTTGATCATTATAAAATGAGTAATTTAAAGTTAAATTAATATTTACTTTATAGCTAGGCTTATTTATATTCGGCATGACATAGGCCTAGTTACAAATCATCATTAACATCATACACAAATAATTATGCACGCCTACACTCCATGGTTTGTATGGATATATTTATGATACTTCATATTATTATATTACACAATGTACAGTAGTTTAGAATTTATGAAAACAATGTGTAAATTAACAATTAGTTTTATGGAAAACTAAGTATTATTTTATAAATTTTATGATATAATATTGCAGTTATTTTACTATTATCAGCTTAATGTTAATATTAATATTTTTATAATATTATTGTTGATATTATTATATTATGCATATAAGTTATTAATTTTACTTTTATCACAAACATCAATTGTATCAATTCTAATAATATTATTTTACCTATTCTAATAGGGAGAAAACAATATGTAAATTAACAATTAGTCTTAAGGAAAACTATCTAATATTTTATAAATGTTATGATATTATATTACAGTTATTTTACTATTATCAGCTTAATAGTAATATTTTCATAATGTTATTGTTGATATTATTATTTTATGCATTACTATCGTTACGTTTATCATAAAATCAATTACATATCGCCACAGGAAAGTACTGTACAAAGAACTTCTATAGGCGACCCGAAAGTCATGACCCTATGCAGTGGTCAAACTGGAACCTGTTTAATATCAAGCAAGGTACCGGGCTAATAAATTACTTACAGGGGTAAACGTTTTGCTAATACTAAGTGTACCGAAACATCTAGAGAATACGAGATCTAAATTAAAGAGCAGGCCCTATAGCTCAGTAAAGAATAATGTATACATTTCGTCACCATTGATGTTTTAGAACTTGCTAGCATTGGACATTTTTACTTTCCCACCCAACAATCCCCAACATCTCCCATTCCAATACATGTAGTATCGGGTGGTATAATTCTTATCAAAGTTATTTGCCCCCAATTTAATATAGTAACGGGGTTCTAATGGTTCATAGTAAATGAAAACATCCCCCCTGGGGCTTTACTCGGGTCCATCGGGAACCCATGATACGCCAGCAAGAAAAAACGGTATTGCATGAGTGACCACCAAGAAGCCAAACAGTAGTTAATTAAAGTATTTCTATTTTAATTGTATATAATGTAGCTTAGCAATAAAAGAGCGTTATAAGAATTCGTTAATAATAAATTACAAAGATCTAGAAATTCCATGTGTTGTGTATAAATTATCATTAAGTATTTTTTTTATATAGGCCTAGATATAATTATAAACTTTATGATGTATACAAGTAATATCGATGTTTATCATGTTTAACTTATTTATCTTTTTAAAGCCGAGTAAAATAAAGTCAAATCAAATCAAATCGAAGCGGTTTGGCGCATTGCAAAAGGTTTGGTTTCCGAACCTCGACATTGGGGTTTCAATCCCTCGATGTGCAGATCGCGTGTGTTCTTGAGCAAAGCACTTTATATGCGTTGCTTCTCTCCATCCCGGAGTATAAATGGGTAGGGATGGTGGGGTTGCTTGGTACTTCGCCGATATGGCAGCAACACTTAAGCATGTGGACCCAATAACAAGTGACAAATGAAATAACAAAAATCAATTCTTACTCATGCATCATAGGCCGAACGACAGTTGAACCAAATACATGAGCTTCATAAAGCAGACTATACAAATACGGCAGCAGACGATATCTTTCAGTCAAAATTTCCTTCACAATTTTAGTCATTTTGGGACCGAACGCAGTTGGGTGCTGGGGCTGTGGAAATGAAAGGATATATATGTAAGGATTTAAAAATAGATAAAGAAATCACAATCAAATTTATGTCTGAGAGTGCATTTCCTTAACCCCAGTCACGAAGAAGTCTCTACCTGTAGTTATTTCGAATTCCTGTCAGCACTTACTCTCACTCAGAAATCACACGAAGTCCGGTGCACCAACACCAACATTAATTTATGTAAGTCCCCTGTTATCAATCAATGAATAGTTAAGGGTCAATAAAGTGCGTATACTTTGTGATCTGTGATCTTCCCACATGTACGGTGGATGCAGCAGGTCGAAATGTGTTATAAACAGTGTCGCAACAGACAATTGGACAAAAAGAGCAACAAAATTCATAGCTAGTTATGAGCCGGGCACTCACTGCGCACGGCGGGTCGTCGGCCGACGCGATTCCATCAAAAACGCGAGCTGCGACGCGCGCACGTACAACGGATCGTTTTTAAGACGATCCGTTCAGGCTGCCACCTACAATCAGCAGAACGTGTCACGTCGTTTAACGCTCAAATGAAACGGAGTTTGATTTGTCGGCCGTCGGTTGCACGACCGTCATACAACGCAGTGAGTGCCCTGGCATATAAAATTAATGAGATATCTTAGGACTATAAAATTAAGAAAAAATTTAGAACATACGATCATGTCTTTACAGTTGTGATTTCTAGAATAAGGATAAAACGCTCCAACTTGGTGCCATCTTGTACAAAGTTCTTCAGTGGCATTTGACCAGAATCCACAAATATCAGCCCCTGACTGAAAAAAAAAATATTTTAAACTACAATTGAGGTCAGGTGATCTTCTTGATTTAGCCTATTCTTTATTCAAAAATAAAACATTATAATATACGAAATAGGTGAAAAGCGGTTGGCGCGCAACGTGCGTGGCTCCGAATTAGTTCCATTAAAGTGTGCCGTGTGTATGGAAAAATTCAAGCAGACATTTCGAAATCCTTACGTATGACGTATGAGATAGTATGTGAATGGATCGTTCCGCTTAGCCATCCCCTTAGACAATGTTCTTAAGGTATCACTAAACGGCAGGTCTTCGTTGCGTGTGCAGTCATAAACATTTATTTGTGAATTAGTGGGACCGGCGCGTATTCTTGCCTCTCCCCCGTCAACAAAGCATTCTGACCGGTTGGTTGTAAGGTTCCATTAGCTAAACTTTTACATAGACACTCAGAAATGGCCGGTTTCACATGCTGAATGCAACGTTTACAGGCCTATAATATAGCCCTACACGTTCTGTAACATAATTACTCATGTAAACTTCAAGTAGGCAGAAATAAGTCGGTGAACTGTGACGTGATTTCTAAAACGCACACTGTCAGTTGTAATGCGCTTCTCTCATTGTTATAACATCACAAGGATCCATTAATCGATCAAGTAATAACTTAAATCTTTTTATCTCCTGATACAAAGAAATTGCGCATTTTGAACAGCGGTGTGCTACAATCCCGAAAATAACAACCATGAAAAAGACTGAATCTATCAATTAATATTTAATCTCTTCGACAATTGTAATCTAGAAGACTCTGGCACCATTGTTTGTATCGTTAACTACAACATCTGTACTCACTAATAT